CCGCTCACCGCGCATCGCCTCCTGCAGCCGCTCGCGGAAGCACCGCAGCTGCTCCTCGCCGACCCCGCCGCCGGCCCGCAGCAGGCGGGTCACGAACGCGGCCGCCGTGGAGATCTCGGTCCTCATGGCCGCCCCGGCCCCGCTGCCAGCGCCGCCCGCCCCGGCCCGGCCCGGCCCGGCCCCCGCGGCCGCGGCGGCTCCGCGCAACAGCCGCACCGCGCGGGCGGGACGGGGCGGGTTTGTTTTGCTGCCGGAGGAGGCGGGACCAGCGCGGACACCCCGAGCGACTCCCCGAGCGACACACGGACACCCCCCGCTCCGCGCCGGGGCAGCGCTGGGTGTCAGCGGGCCGGGACCCCCCGCGGGTCCCATTGCCCCCCACCCAACGGAAATAACGGGCTGGACGCGCGGCCGCCTCGGCGATCGCGGCCGGCACCGCGTTCTCCCCCTTCGCCTGGAGCGCCACATTCCCACCCCGGGGCCATCGGCGGCTCCCCCCGCAGTCCAACACCCGCTCGGTCGCCCGCGGTGTTCCAGGCGCGCATCGCCGTTATCCTGCCCCGTGCCCTTGCCCCTCTCATTTCTCGAGACCCCCATACGGGCACAGTCTAAAAACCCCTCGCCGGCTCTTCAAGGCAATCCCTCAAGTGTGGGACCAAGACCCTCACATGACAAAAAAGAACTCTTGACATTTGCCCCAAAACCCGGATGCCACCACCTGCTTCGACAGTCCCACATAGGTAGAGTATAATGCTGAGTGCCATTTTGTAGCCTAAGCAAAGAGATTTGTCATCAAGGGAAAAAAATAGTCTTATTTTACCCCTTGAAGAAAAGACAAAAGGTTTCTGTGGTTCCTTTTCCCTCACTCACAGCTCTTAGCACTAGACTGTCTCCTCACCAGCTCTCAGGTCTGGATCGAGATGCTATTTCACTAGAACAACTTGTCACCGAAGCCCAGCTCACATTTTAGTACCTCAAACTTTAGAAATGAAGCTTAAAAATTAATTTCTGCTGGTATCTGGACACATCAGTCATCCACTTACTTCAGTCTTGTTTTATTCAGTGTTTTGAGGAACATTTAAGGCTCAGAGTGAGCAAGACACAGAAAGACAAGAAGAAACCAACTGTTTGACTTTCATCTCCCTGCCAGAAAATGATTCCACAGGCAGCAGTACTTAAAGCAAACTCTGGAAAGGTTCATCAAGAACCTAATTATTTGCCTTTTATTATGTTAATATTTTATGTAAACAGGATGTTTTAGGGAGTACTGCAGGTCCCAATAACAAAGCACTGGAGATGGCAATTAACCATTTAGAAACACTACACCAGTACAATTTACTGATAACCACTGAAACATGTAATTTTTCATTAGAAACAAATTTTAAGTATTCATACACAGTGGAACAAAAAAAATCTGCATGCAACCACATGCAGCTCCATCAGTCCTGACACAGCTACCAGACATACAACCTTATTTCACTCAGATTCTTTTAGCTCATCAACTCAGACTTACTTTGCTGTTACTCTGTTCGCCTGCAGGTCGTTTTCTCTTTGGCAGGAACACCTGAAGTAAAGGGAAACAGAGTCAGTGTCTCAAATAGTTTTAAAAAAACCCATAAAATATGTCATAGAAGTTCCTGCCTGCTTTCTCTCCAAGAAACTCTCTGGGGTTTATCCTAAAAATAAAGTTTGTGCATGTGCTCTGTCATTCTATTTTTCCTCAACTCCAGCTAGAGGAAGAGGAGAAAGTAAAACTGAAGCTGTGTCACTCATAAAATATATTGCTATTTAAAAGTTGCAATAATAAAAAATAGCAGTCATAGTATAATCCTATTTATTTATTTAAAAACCCACCCCAAACCCCCCCGAATAAACAAATAAACCAAAACCAAGCCAACCCAGAATTTAGAGCAAATAATGTCTAAATCAAGTTCCTTTTAGATTACTCAATTTAGCTCTCAATACACATCTCTACAAACATAGATCAAACAGAGCACTAGAACCTGCAAGAGGAGGTTTTAAACAAAACAAGCAATTTTGGTTTTACTTCATCTCATAGAAGCATCTCTCTCTAAACATAAATAAATAAAAACCATTCTTGAATGCAAGAACCATTTTTTCCTTCTTGATAGACTACAAAAACATTGTATTGGCATTCTCACTACAGGGAGAAAAAGAACAATTCCAAACACAAATAGTAGTACCTTCAGTGATTTAAGCATCAAATCCATCCATAATTTCCCCAGTTTTGTATATAATTTGGGCCTGTCTGGCTGGTAAAGCAGATTATACTCTAATGATCATTTAAGATTGCTGTGCATAATGGAAATAGGGAAATGAACAAGAGAAATCAGAGTTCTCTGACAAAACTGGACACGTGTCAATCCTAACATAATGTTTTTCACTTAAAAGCACTGTGTGCGTGTCCCTGAGCCCTGTGTGTTTCCAGCCCTCTCTGTGAGTCCCCAAACAGTGTCTACGAGCCCTCAAGCTCTGTCTGTGAGTCCCCAGCCCTGTCCGTGTGTCCCCCAGCCCTGTCTGCGAGTCTGTGTGTCCCCAAGGTCTGTCCGTCAGTGCCCGAGGAGGCAAAGGCGGCAGAGGTGTCAGCGCCACAGGCACACAGGATGGGTCCCCCCGCCCTCCCTCTGACGTGAGCAGACACCTGAGGGTGTCTGACGTCATCCTGCCGTGGACAAACACGGCATGACGTAAGCACCAGCCCCACACTCACAGCGACGTGACCGCCAGCAGCATGACGTCACCCCTTCCCCTCACACGGCCGGCGCGCCTTCCCGCCACCCTTCCGGCCAATCCGGGCGGCGCTTGCACCGCGACCCCCTGGCGGCCAATGGCGGGGGCGCTTACAACTAGTGGCGGGGCCGCCGCCGCCCCATTGGCCGCGCGGGGAGCGGCGCCCGGCGGTGATTGGCGGGGATTGGCGAGGGGGCGTGTCCCGCTCTGCCCCGCCGTGAGGGCCCCCCGTGCCGGGCCGGTCCCGCCATGGCGGCGCCGCTCGGGCCGCGCAAGCGGAGCGGCCCCGGGCCGGCCCCGCCGGGGCTCCACAACGGGCTCCCCCCGCACAAGCGCCCCAAGAGCGCCGCGGCCGGGCCCGCCGACCCCTTCGGCGACAGCGACGACTTCACGGCGGACGACCTGGAGCAGATCGACATCCTGGCCTCGCAGGCGCTGTCGCAGGATCCGCCCGCGGGACTCGCGTGGGGACCCCCGGGGCTGCCCCGGGGCGGGCGGGAAGGTCGGTGTGTCCCGGCACGGCCCCGCTTCTGGGAAGGGGTTGTTGTCCCGTTAGGAATCGTGGAATGGTTCGGGTTGGAAGGGACCTGAACGATCATCCGATTCCCACCCCCTGCCGTGGGCAGGGACACCTCCCACCATCGCGGGGAGCCCCGGCCAGCCCGGCCTTGGACACTGCCAGGGATGGGGCAGCCACAGCTGCTCTGGGCAACCTGTGCCAGGGCCTCCCCACCCTCACAGGGGACAATATTTTACCGATTTATCATCTCAAGCTGCTCTTTTCCAGTTTGAACCCATCCCCTCCTGTCCTGTCACTGCGTGCCCTTGTAAATCCTCTCTCTGCATCTTTCCTGTGAGTTCCCTTGAGGGAACCGCGTCTGCTCTGGCCACCAGCACCCCCCGAGTGTCAGAGGGATGGCTGGGATTCAAAGGAATAGCAGAAATAATGAAGGAATAGTGATCCCAGCAGGCACATTACACTGAGCTGTGCCCTGGGGGGTGTCCCTGGCCTGAGATGTGGGTGCTGCACGTTAAACCTGCCAAATAAACGAGTTTCACAAACTTTTAACTTGCTTTAGGTATCATTCACAGTACCACCGTTAACTTTTGTATCCTGGTTGGATGCTGGCCACCAGATTATTTTTTCCCCTGTTAATTTTCACTAGTAAATGCATAATGTGTCATATTAAAACAGCTGATTTTCAGGTTTACTTTGAAAAAAGCAAAACAAACCAGGAGGTTGTTCATAATGAAGTTTAGAGGGCTTAAATCCTCTTGAGTTTAATGTTTTGGCAACGCTGACACCTGTCATCTGTCCAGTGAAGTTGTCAGTGAACCCTTGTTTGTGCAGGGTGTGTTGATGAAGTTACCTGGAAGGGATTGCTCCCCTTTGCTGATGGCCTTCTTTCTGCTTTAAGATATCAAAAGGTCTTTAAGGTCCCTTCCAACCCAAACCATTAGATTAGAAATTGGGGGGTGGGAGGGTGTTCTCTGTTTTGAGGTTGATGCACAAGCACTGACAAGGTCCCTGTGGTGGTTAGGTGAGGCAGTTTACCTGTTTGTGGTGATGGAATAAATACCAAGATATTCAGATGTATGAAGTGGCAGATAACGTGGTTTTGAGTGCCCAGGGATGTTCTCACATCATCTGTGCTTCACATCTTGGCTTTTCTCTTCAGCAGAAAGCAGAGCAGATGATGGGCTGATGAGAGATGCATTCCAGCTTGAGGTGCTGCAGACACAGAATGAAGAAAACAAACAGAAGGTTGGCAGCATTTCCCCCTCCCCTCTAAATGTCACATTTTTGGTAGGGCTGACTGAAAGGTGGGATAAGTCCAGCTCCAAGCATTTAATTCTAATCAAGCTGATCAATAATCGTTGTAATCCAGGGATCTGTTAAAATCATTATACTAAAAACAGCTCTAGTAATAATGAAGACTGAGACCAGTATTTTATTCCTTGGTCACTTCAGAGTAGCAAATGCTGATTTGTCAGTTTTACTTGTTCCCTGTCAAATCAATTCTCTGTCCTGTCAGCCAGCCAGCAGGAGCTGCATTGTGCAACTTAAAGATTTGAGAAAGCAAAGTGACTTTAAAGTGGCTTCGTGTTACTTCACCTCCTGCTGATCCATTGTGCAAAGATTCTTAGGGCAAGAAACAAATGTAGAAAGTAAGAAGGCACAAATTCCTGTACAAAGTCTCTCCTTTTTTTTTTTTTTTTTTTGGTGCACAGCCTAGGAAGGAAAGAAGCCTTGAACAAGTTTATATTTTAGCAGAACAGCCTTTTAGCCTCTGATCAAATTTCGTGGATGTACTTCCTGATCCAGAAATACTGTATGTGGGTTTAATAGTCTATTGTGTATTTTTTTTAGACGATCTGTGTTTGGATACCTTTTAGAGGGAAAGAGGTCAGCAGTTTAATGGCACACTGTGTCAGGAAATTTCTTCTTTGATTTAATTTTGAACTTAATAAGTGGGTGGGTCATGGCTGCTGTGAGAGACTCTATTTACCTTTCTTACCTCTGTTCTCTGAATCTTTCCCAGCTCTGTGATATCCATCTTTATCAGGGAATCTCCTACCTGTAAACCATCATCTTACAGTTGTGTAGAGGTGTCTTCTTGCTTTTTTCTTCATGCATTTCTGAGTAACTCATTCATCATCTCTCCAAAGTCTTGTCTCTGAGTGGTGATTTCTGCTCAGGAAGTATTAGAGAGTAAATATGTCATGAAAATATTGGTTGGGGCGGTGCCTTGTCTTAGGATAGAGTTCTTGTTGGCTGCCCTGCTAAATGAAATATTACAATGAAATTAGCAGTGATCATCCCAATAACTAATAAATTATTGATGTGTATGACCAGAAGACTTTTAAATTAAAAATAACAATTGCAGAGGAGGGGAAAGAGAAGGATGGTCTTTGACAGATGTCAGAATGGTATGTGAAGATGTTTCTTTGCTATCATTTATAATTCTGTTAGAGAAAACAGTAGCTGAGTTTTCTGATTTAATCAGGAAAAGGTTAGAGGCAACATTGCAGAATTTCTGAACTGGGTTGCAGGAGCATTTTCCTCCCTAGAAATTATAAATAAAGACCTCATCTTCAGCCACACAGTGATGCAAATACATACTTTTGGCTATGTACATCCTTTAATGGAATTCCTCTCTTGGCAGCTGAAAGAAATGCAGGATGAAATTCTCACTAAAAATGGAGAAATTAAAATTCTGCGTGACTCACTGCAGCAGATGAGGTCTGCTGTGGAGGAACAGAAAAGATCATTCCTGCTGCTGGAACAGCAAAAATCCCAGACCTTAAGTGAAAAAGAAAAAGAGTTCTCCAAAAAGGTTTGTAAATATATCAGTTCCCTGCAGATCAGGTACAGAGGCCAATTTATGACTTAATGATGTCACAGACCATTTAGTCAGAGGAAGAACATTGGTGTGAAATGTCCAAACCATGCATGCTTTTATTTTCTTATCTAGAAGAAAGCATTTGTAAGAACTCGCAGAGGGTTTTCTCTTGCCAAAACAAGAGTAATATTCACGTGGTAGAGGTTTTCGTTTGCTATCTTTTTTTTGTTTTTTTTTTTTTAAGCAACCCCAAGAGCATTAAAACTGGAATGTATTTTACAATGGAAGAAAAGAGACAGGGCATGCTCCATGCCTCTGATGAGGCTGATGCTCCTGTTGCAGTCATCTTTCTGAGAGCTCTGGAGAGGACAGGGGCTGCTTTTGTCCTGTTCACTTTGGTCATGATCTGCTTGGCACTTTGTCTAAGCCAGTCCCAAATGCTTCTTGCCTGAACTTCTGGCACTTGGTTCTCAGATTGTGTTAATTGGACTAAGGTGCATAAAAATGGAGACCTTGTGCAGAGTTCACAGTAAGCAGATGGTTATCTGGACCTCTTATGGTAACTCCAGTTGCTCTGCAGTTACAACACCCCTAAATTGCTCAGTAACAGCAAAACTGTCTTTAATTCCTCTTCCAGCTGCAGTCGTTGCAGTCAGAGCTGCAGTTCAAGGATGCAGAAATTAATGAGTTAAGAACACGACTTCAGAACTGTGAAAGAAAGAAACACGTTGTTACTCAGACAGTCCCAACAACAAGGTAGGAGGGGGTTGGAGAAGGAATTTGTTTTCATTTTTACATGTGTGCTTAAACTATTAAAAAAGTTTCCTTTCTTCATGTAATTTTAGCTCTGTTGTCTTTACAACCACAAAGGTCTGTTCACCTCTCTGAAATTTGCTCCAAAAGAGCCTTTCTTGTATCTAAGAAATTCAAAGAATTTATAGTGAAGTAGCTTTAAAACATGAGTGAAAATAAAATAGATTCTTGCTGACTGTTTAATAAAATAACTACAAAAGAAATACCGATTCACCTTTTTGTATTAGCCCTATAAAGAGCTTTGCAGTACAAGTGAAACCAGAAGGATGTTCTCCACAGCCTGGAAGAAGATCTTTTCCTACAAAAGAATCCTTCAATGCTGAAATGTCCGCTAGACCATCGTGTTCTTCAGGAAATCCGATGGCCCCAACTACTTCAATCAAAGAAGGTAAATCCACGCACAGCTGGCCACGTTTGTAGCTGCCTGTGAACATTCTGCCCTAGAGAAGGGGTTTCTACTGCGTGACTGAATTTGCATCGAGGCCATTTTAATCCACACCTCGGTACCCCGCAACGAAGGGGCCGTTGGCTGCAATAAAAAAAAAACTTTCCTTTATTATGTGATGAACCAAAATATCCAAATTGTTGATCTGCTTTTTCTCATTGAATAAAGAAGAACAGGAAGTAATTTGCCTGTTTCTTGAATTGGTCTGCTAGTTCAGCTAATGCGTTTTTTGCATTCTTGTTGTTCTGGCTTGGTTTTTTTGGGGGGAGGGGGGAGAGGTTGGATTTTGAAGGGGCACAGATGTCTGAGCAAGGCAGTTCTCATGGTCACTGGTTGTTCCAGACAGTAAGATGACCCATCCTGAAGTTCCATCCGTGAAGCACCAGGAGGCAACGGGAAAAAACGGTTCCTACAACTCTGCACCCAAACGGAGCACACAAGGTAAGGTCATGCTGTTCATGCAGAATAAACCCAGGAAAAATGTACTTTGTTTTTAAAAAAACAACCAAGCCTGTACAACATAAACAGCCAGATGCAGGAAGTCTTTAGGGATCTTAGTTCCCATTCACAGTAGAATTGCATCACATCGTTTTAATGTCTGGGGTGGAACACGGAGGGCAGTTCATCAGGACAGTTGGGACATTTGGTCGTTTGGCTCCAGTTATTCTGCTAATATGGGATTGTAATTAAATATCTCTAAATACAGTTTGGTTTACATTTAAATGCTATCTTAGTTTTTCTGAGAATCATTCTCTTGTTGAGAAAGAAGATTCATAAAGAAAAGAAATCACTTTGAGGTTGAGAGTGCTCTAAATAAGGCTGATCTTTTGAAATACTAAATTTTTGTTGTTGGAGATGGTAAAGCTACTCCAAGGACAGTTCTGTGTCCCTTCAGGTTCAATCTTACTGAATGCACTGATGAAGCAGCCCATTGTCCCTGGATCATTACTAGGACTGTGCCATCTTCTCAGCAGCAGCTCTGAGCCTCTCCCTGGAGCTGTGCTGCAGCCCAACTCTCTGGAGACGTAAGTTTTATGAGTTTTTTGTTAAATTGTATCTGACATGTTCTTGGTATAGTGGCATTTTCTGTACTAAGGAACACTCTGTCACGTAGGACAGCTCATTCCCTGCGTTAAATGCTGCTTTGCTTAGGCCATTTAACGCAAAATTTGAAACATCACACCACGTCTTTGATGGTTAATGTGTGACTATCATAGATACTAAACAGTGGAACATCACTAAGAGATAAAGTAGGTTAATTATCTATGAGGGGAAGGCACAGAATTAAACTGGGAGTGGCTGTTAGCAGCTTGCATTGAGGGGAAGGACATAAACATGAGCATGAGTTAAGTGGGAAGAAAATGTTGAAAATGTGATTAAAACAGTAGGTTTTGTATCTTCAAAGTCAAAAGTGTATTTAATTTGTAACGCACAATTTATGTGCATTTTTCCAAGGTACATTTATAGTGACTGGTAAAGCCTTTTAAATATGAATATCAGATATAATTGTTTTTCACTTTAAAGAATTAGACTGAAGCTCCTGAAATACCTTCATTTTTCTGATATTTTATTAGTAATTCTTGTGTTATGTAGGCTCATGTCTCATTGCCCTTGTCATTTATGCAGGAAGAGGTGGTGAGTTTGTCCCTTGCAGCTGCAGTTTGGCTGGTTAATGACTGAAATCTCTCGTTTCTGGCCCAGAAAATAATCCTTTACTGTTGTAATCCTTTAAAAGCCCCTAAATATTCCAGACCAGTAACGTACAGATACTTGTTCTTTCCAGAAGCTACCAGATAACATCAGGGAGGAACACATGACAGGTTAGCAAAAGCCTGAAGTGGGAAAGCTGGTGTTTGAAATGTAGTGAGCTGCTGAAATTCCTCACCTGAAAGCTCTGGCTACGAGACTCTGGAATGCTTTGCAATTGCTCTTCCTTGCAGGTCTCAAGGAGTAGGATGATTTTTTATTACTCTGGCCTTTCTATTATTCAGTTCATAGTGTGGATAACTCAGACTTCATCTATGCTCTCTGCCTTTTCTCCTTGGATAGGAAGTCCACACAACCCCCCAGCAGCAGGACGGTGCCAGAAGAACCCGCTCCTCTCATGTCCCTGCAAGAAGCTCAAAAACTTGCAATAACAGGGTTGAACCTGATCGCTCTGGACCAAGGATTAGCTGAAGGCAGCCCAGCAGAAGGGCAGGGAGAGCTCCTGCCCCTCCCACGGTGCAGGATCCGAGGAGCTGTGCACCTCCTGCCCCTGGTGGAGCACCACGTCAGTGCCTATTGCCGGGCGGGACAACTGCCGGACACGTCAGGGAACGGTTCCTGTGGAAACCATTCCGCTGTTTCCTCCAGAACCAGCACCAGTACGCTGTCGAGTAAGGAGGACTTGAGGTTGTCTCTTGAGGAAACTGCAGTTATAGCTCTGGGGATCCTTTATTATTTGGTGTTCTACAGCTGGGATGTTGTCCACACGTTGCTGGCTGCCAGAGGGGAAAAAGCTGCTGCTGCTGCTGCTGCTGCTGGAGATGAACAGGTTTCCAAGATGGACAAAAATGTGCCGTGTGACAATCAGTGTGATAATAAAGAAGATAGCAGGACACAAGGAGGGCTGCCTGCAGCTCCACAGGATGCTCCCAATAATGATCGAGCTCAACATTCTCTGTTTAAAAAGCTTCTTCAGGTTTTAGCTTTTTCTGCTGCGAGGGGTTCCCAGACTGACAGAATCCTGAGCCAGAGCCTACAGGTTTTGGTGAAATTAGCTGAAAATTCAACAATGGACTTGCTAATAAAGTAAGTCAGTAATAGCTTTACAGTGATTTCAGACTCTGGCTTCCATCCCCTGGTGAAACCAATCTGTGCAGATACAAGTAGAAGTTTTGCCCTTTACGAGAGAAATCACATTTCTCAGATCACCTTTGGAGAGCAGTTGAGGATCTTTCTATTACTTTTGCTGCTAATGAGTGTGATAGTCCTCCCTGATCAGTCTGAAAGTGAGGAAACTTCTTAAGGCCACATGCAGTTGGATCAGAATATCTATAATATCAATTTGGGGTTTTTTTTGTGATCGCTGGGAGATGCATAAGGAAGGAGAACACAGGGTCTCATTCTGGCAGGTAAAATGCCACTCAGAAGTAAGGCATTTCATCACAACCACAGTGTGAACTGCAGTGACTGCCAAGAGTCACAATGTTTTTCACTATATTTCATATTTACGACACCTAATTTGAGATCAGTTACATCCTGAAGAGCTAAAAGGGCACAAATGATGGGGCTGCGTACAAGGTGTATTTTCAACTTGTCAGTGTATTTCCCATTACTAACAGAGTTTTCCTTTGAAGTTTTCAGCAGCTGCTGAGCAGCCAGACCCTGCTGCACTGCCTGTGTCCAGAGACCCCCCTGCCTGCCGTCCTGCTGACCGTGAGGCTGCTGGCTGTGCTCGCTCAGCACCCGGGCTTGGCAGCTCAGCTGTGCTCCCACTCAGGTAAAGCCCTGCAGGGACTCAAAGGAATGCAAACAGGCCTTGATCCAGGTGCTAACACCCCAAAAGGCATAAAAAGCCTGATATGCTCCCTGAAACCTTGTTTTCTAGTGCAGTGTTTCAGTTATTATTTAAAGGAGTATTTATCTCAGGGCATCTGTCTACATGTGGTGCTTTTGATAGCCATGTGGATCTTTAAAACTTTCAAGGTTAGCATTCATTGTAGTAAAGGCTGGTGAAGAAAAAAAGGGTTTTTGAGGAGTTCTGAAGTTTAAATTCCGTGCATTCTTGAGCTTGGGGATTGCATTACATGACAAGCATGACAAATGCTCTCTTGTCCAGTTCCTTGTGAATGAAGTAGGACAGGATTAGCACAAAGGCACACACAAAGTGATGAGATACTGATTTCCTCAGCACTGCTTAAGATGTGTGAAGTAAAGCAAGAAGCTGGGCCTAGGAGAGCACTCAAACTGTGAATTAATTTTTAATTAAAAGAATTGATTTTTGTCATGAACAATTGACTGAAGGAACAAAGTTCTCTCTGTTTCAGACACCTGCCTTCTCCTTGCACTGTACATGTACATAACATCAAGACCAGATAAATCAGCGTCTGAAATGCTCTGGCTTCAGCTGGAACAAGAGGTAACCACGTGGCTGTTTGTCCACATGCTCTTCCCCGCTCTTTCCAGTGGGGGGAGTGGGAGGAGCAGGACAAGGCACGAATTGCCTGAAAACAATTTCTTTCTCTAGCTGAAATAGAAACTGCCAGTATAGGCCTGCAGTAAGGGATTACATTGGTTTTCCCTTCTTTTATTTTTAAAAGGACCTGCTTGAAATTGAATCAGTAACTATTCTAAAAGAGAACATCTGTCATAATATCTTTTAAGTCACTGGAAAAACAATAAAGATTCTGGGATGGCTACAGATGTTCAACACCAAGCTTCATTTTGCTTTTAGATCAGTAGGAGAGTAAAAAAGAAGCAAGGTCTGTGTTTCATTTTGATTGTATCAATTCCCTCTATCACATCTAAAAGGCAGCCCATAGTGATTTAGGATTATATTCCTTGTATCCAGTGGAAATGCCAACTTGCTGTATAATAGCCATGGTTATATATAGAAAGAAAGGCTGTTAAACTTAATTTGTGTTGTTTGTACTGACAGAAATGATTTGAGGTTCCATTTGCTCCACTTCAGCTCTGGTTTTAAAGAATTTTGAACCCTTTTCATTATCCCCCTACCAGCTCTGTTATGCTAAAGTACATTTGCAAGCAGTGAATTAAGGCCCCTGACCTTGATAGCTGCTCATCAGGAAGCTGAAAAGCTTTCTTGTGCGAGGCAAATAGTAAAGTGTCACAGGGGAACAAAACTATTACAGTTTGGGAGGGGGGGGGGAAGAGATCAGCTGTTAAGGAAAAAAAAAAGACAGAACATTGGAAAGCAGCAGTGAAACAGCATTTCTGCCCCTCCCCTGTAACTCCTGGTGTGTTTGTAACAGGCCGTCAGGCTCCTGACGTGGCGCACGAGGTGCTCCAGACCAGCACTTCTGTCACCTGGCACGGCCTGTCAGTGCAACCTCGAGGTGAGTCACCACAGCCCCCCACTTTGAACTGCTGAGAATCAATGCTGGAACAGCTCTCTGGCCCCTTGTTTGAGCCACAACGACACAGAAGTGTCCTGTACTTTAGAAGATGCCACCTCTTTAGGGAGCTGGCTTTGGCTCGCTAGAAAATGATCCCTTCAAACTTCTGAATTCAGAGCAATCAGCAAAGTTCACAATGAAAGAAGTTTTCTGCTGCTGTGTTTTTACTTTGTGTTCTTCCTCCCGCAGGTGGTTAAGGCACTAATTATAATGTTACATAGGCAGTGGATGAAGGTGAGAAGAGCTGAGAACAGCCTGTGTGCACATAAGGAACAAGTTATTCAGTTCTTACGGGATGCTGTTTTACTCTTGCACAGCCTGTCTCAGAAAGATAAACTGTTCCACGAGCACTGCTTAGAAGTTCTCCATCAATATGACCAAGCTATGCCAGGCATAAGAGCCATTCTCAAAAAGACTCAAAAGCTGAGTGCCTGTGAAGGTAAACAGCAGTCACATGTTGGCTTTTTTCAGTGCTGTAGAAATAGAAATTTCCCTTCTTTCCCTTTCCTCATTTAACAAATACCATGGATGGTTCCTGATCAGACCTCTGAAGTCAGGCCATAGTCTTGTGCTTCTCAGTATTCACTATACTGAACCACTGCTTGAATATTCTTCTTTAATGGTTGTATCTTGTTCTTCTCTCCAAAGAAAGACACCCCTAGAATCTGTTTAGTGTCTACAGTCAGGATGTTTTAAAATGTAGATACCAGCTATAGTTACGCTGTATCAAGTAGGAAAAACGACTCTCTGAAACCTGACTGTTTGTTGTTGTTACCAGAGCTGATTTTGGATGAACTGTATCCTCCTGAGCCAGAAGACCAAGGAATGGACTCCAGCTAGCCAACATCTAACACAGATCTGTCCTTCCTCATCTGAATCATCATAATCATTGCCAGTGCAAATGTGAACTTTAAATCATCCCTTCATGAAGTGACAGCCTAAAGGTTGCATTCCAAGGCAGCACAACTAAGACACGTTTCTTTGCTGTAATTATTTCAGTGCCATTGAAATGTAGCTGAAAGTAAACAGATTTTGAGATGAGAACGATAGTGCAATGGATTTATGATTGGCCCTGGTTATGAATTTCATCCTGTACAAAACTGCTGGAAATGGAACGGAAATGTCACTCCATGTCCTCTGTTTTCCTGTGACTGCGGTTGAATTTACGATGCTGAACATGCAAGATGTTTGGGATCACTGCATTCATATGCAAGTCCTTTGAACACACTTTCTTTTGTAATTTTAACTCTTTCTTGCTTGACTTCCAGAATTTTCATGTTGGTATTAGTAAACAGTTTACAGTGATTTTAAAAGCCTTTCTAGAAGTAACTTGGAGTTGGCAGTTCACTGCAGGGCTTTGTATTTCTTGCTGAGAATTGGTCACCTGAGTTCACTTGATTTTCATGAGTCTGGTGGAAGTGTAACTATGGAGATGCCAAAACAAACAAACAAAACATACTAGACCTTACATTTTTTAAAAATTCACCTTAAAAGAGTAAGTTGCTGTTGATGCTGCTGAGATGGTGCCGTTGAGGACTCCATCCAAGGTGATAGAGGGATATTTAAGTGTGTGCAGAATGACTGGGGCTTTTTGGTCACTGGGAAGATGAATGACCATCTCAGTCCTAGGATAAAGCACTGAAGGTTGGAGGAAGAGCTGCTGCTCCCTGCACAGTCACAGTCACACTGGGCTGCAGGTTCTCAACTGAGCCTTAAAAGGGAGGTGTGAGTGCTTTTAAAACGTGCCCACAGGTTTGTATTTATAAATGGGAGAGCTTTTTTCATTTTTCCATGGGTGCTTGATTTAGAAAGAGCCTGGATCCAGGGAACAGGAGAAGGAGAGACCATACTACCATGGGAAGGAAGCTCTTGGAAAAGTGGGAAACGTTCAGTTCCCTGGCCATGCCCAAAGAGGCTGTGTCCTGCCCTGGGGCAAAGAGCCCCACTCCAGTGGGCTCAAAAAGCTCCTAATTTGGTTTTTGCTTTGGAAAAAACTTTTCCAGAGACTGCTGTGCAGGAATAACCAGGGAAATAATCCATCACCTTCCAAGGGCTGAAGCTTCCTCCTCCCCCCCGCACAGCCTGGGCTCAGCCTCCCCCTCCCTGAGCAGCAGCTCTGCAGGGGCAGGGCCGGGTCGTTGCTGTGAAATAGGAGCTGTCGACTGCTCCCCTCATCAGCAGCAGGTTTCAAGTCCCTTGTAGCACCTGGAAAATGCCTTTTTCCTGCTTAAATGCAGCAAGGAGGGATGAACAGACACGTAACAACAAGGCCTTCTGAGCCTGTGTGTCAGAAACAACAGTTGGCTTATCCACATTAAATAAATAAAGAGAAACTCAACACACCAGAAAACCCCCACACAAACAAAAACCCAACACCAGCCCTCAAACACAGCATTTCCTGCCCTTCAGGATTAGATGAGAGAGAAGAGCTTGAGAATGTCATGTAAAAAAGCCTTTTACTTCCTCAAAACCAAAATAAACATTAGGATAATTCTTTAAGAACAGCCCCACGAGCACGAGCTGTGGTAAAGCTGTATCTGAACATGAGCCTGCTGTGAGTGGCAAGCTTAGGACAGCTCCAACAAAGACATGACAGTCACAATATCCCAAAATACAGTGACCCTCCATCACTTTTGAACTGTTCTCACCACTTAGTTTGCCTAAACATAATTTGAGTTGATAGAGGTAAGATACATTTAATCCCCTTTGGATGAACAGACCAAAACTGTTAAGAAGAGTTTGGACAAAAACCAGTTAATGACCCCAAATTATTGGAACAATCCAGCTATAAAAACTTGTTTAAAAAATTCCTGGCCTCATCTAAAGGATGTGTTGTATGGCAACTTGGAAAAAGGGAAAAGTGGATTATTGCTGAACTTAATATAAACAGAAATGTTATCTCTGGAAAAAACTGCCAGGAAAATCCCTAACTGTTCCCTCCTGGCTCTGCATCCCCTCCCATCCACCCACTCACAGACACCACCTGGACATGTACATTTACACTCTCATTGAGTTTTCTTCCAGCTTTTGACTTTAAACTGGTATAACCCAGGCTCCATACCCCAAACAGACCCAAGCCCTGACAGAAATTCCAGTAACATCACAGTGTTACAAAATTAAACCAGAGCTTTTCAAATTAAAGGCATTTCCTGTGACTGAAAAGTTCCCATTCCTAAAGCAAAACGAGGCTGCACTCCTGAAGAGGAAAGGCAGAAATAAACATACTTACAGGACTGCCACAATTTGGTAACTCATTTACGGTGACCAATCTTTCATTGGAATTATTGCAAGATACCACTGACCTTCAGTAATTCTTCCCTTTTTACGTTCTCTTGGAATTTTTCTTGGGATTAAAAAAGATCCAACCATGTGTGCAACAGCTGATTATCCCCTGAAAAAAACCTGAAGCATTTTTTACACATTTTGGGGCTACTGGTTTACTGTGCTCGTGACCCAAAACCAACAGGCAGTTCTCATCAGACAGTCCCTGAAGAACTCCCAGCAGAGCAGCTTTCCCATGGCCACTCTGCACTTCCCCAACACGTTATGGATAGGCTGTGCCTCTGGATTAACTGGGAAAAGGAATTTACTCTGGCATTGAGAACAGTCACAGGACTGAACAATGAAGTGTTGAGCAACAAGGAAAACCACTGGGCATGTTCTACACATGATTATCACATTCCTCAGCTGCAGCCACCCATCTGTTCCCTCGCCTGTGGGGATGGCAGAGTTTCCCCTTGGATAAGCTGAGCTGACCAGAGCTGGGGTTTTCCTGCTCAGTGAACTGGGCTTTGCACACCTTGTAGGATCAGGGACTGGGTGAGGCTGGAAGGGGCCGCTGTAGCTCATCCAGACCAGCCCCCAAATCAAACCAACCTTCCTCTGAGAAAACAAACAACTGGTTGTGTCACGTCAGGCCTCAAAACCTATTTTTATAAACTAAGCTGAAATAGGTGAGGATGGCAAATACAAAATATCTCATCATGTAGCAACATCCCCCAGTTGTTTTTATATTCATATTAATCCCACCAGTGTGAAACTGCTTAAAAAAAGAACTTTAGCCCGTGCCAAACTATTAGAAGAGTAAGTCATAAGAATAATGTTTTTATCTTCCAGTCTGCAATATTATTTATGGTTACAGTGGCCAAATGGTTACAGTTAAAGCCAAATGTAGCAGTTCTGCCTACAAAAGGGCTGTGTATTATCTGCTGTGAATGTAACAGCAAATGCAAACTTACATTTCCAGCCTAAGTTGTTAAAAATAAAAACTGCCCACCATTGATTCTAACAGCAGGCTGATACAAAAAGGTGGTCTGTGAGCTTTATAAAGATCTACAAACCCACTGTGGCTGAAGTTTATCCAAGTGCTTCCAAGACTCGGGGCCAACAGCCAGAGTGCTGAACATGGACTAGCCTTAAAAGTGTCAGTCCTGAAGTTGTCAGTGCATTAATGCCCTGAATAATTGCTCAAGGGGTAACCTCCTTTTGAAAATACCCAAAGGAAATGGCTACTTTATTGTCATGTATGGTGAGAATATAACAAGTAACTGTAGGGTCTCCTAACAGAGCTAACACAGAACAGTAATTTCCTTTGCCTGTGTATAGGTTGGTTTTTCAGAATGCAGCTGAACCATTTGTTTTGCTGAAGAACCTCCTTTAGAGCACAGCTGAGCTGCAACACCAGCCCAGCAGCTTGCAAAGGACATCCTACCTGACTGAAGGGCTGAAGTAACACTGGAGAGTGGACCACAAATCCAACCGCAGGAGCAAGCGTTAAAATGAAGCTTCCAGTAACTGATTTAACAGTTGTTTGGACTGCAGGAGGGGAAATGGGTTATCAGAGGTTATCTTACAAAACTCTTCCCTCTGGCGAAACGAAAAGTGAAAGTTTTGTCAGAGTTTGTCAGTTTGCAGGAGGGGAGGGACAGCTCTGAGGCGGAAATGGCATCACTTCCCAACTGTTCAGGGGAACCAGGGGGGGCTGTGCCACACTGCACCAGGCAGAGCCCCCTCACTGCCCAGTGCTGACAAAAGCAGTTGTGTCTGATCCTAAATACACCACTTCACAGCAGAAAAACATCCTTTATAACGTGGCTCACTTGCCCTGAGCAGAGGCTGCCACAGGAAGGTGAAGCAGAGGAAGCTACTCCACCAATACAGGAGCCTGAGCTCTCGAAAGGATAAAATTACATTTTCTTCAGTTTGGTCTCACCTCTGCCAGGTTTAGCCTGGGTATTTTTGTCCCTCTTATGTAGCTCACTGTAAATCTGACCAGATTCCTGTGGCACAGGTACACCTGCTACAGAGTCCTGGGAAAAGAAAAACAGATGAACTAAAAAGCAGTGGCAAAAAAAACCTACCAGAAATAACTCTGATTTCCTGGTGTTATTTCCAGCCCAAACATGAATTGTATGTTTTCTACATTTAGGTTTCTAGGAGCATATGTTTTGTCTGCTGTGCTCATTTAGCTAATAGAAGTTCTGGGGAGAAAATGTGGACAAAAATTGGCAGTTCAGTGATTTATGTTTCACTTGCAACACATTATCAGCCTGCAGCTGAAGCTACAACAAATTCAAGAATTGACGTTACAAAACACAATTATTGTGGGGTTTTGTTTGGTTTTGGGGGTTTTTCCCCCCCCTTTTCTTTCAAATTCCACATTGGACCTCAGCTGGCAATTCAATGTAATAATGATGATACATTCAACACCCTCCACCAATTGCTGGTTGGTGTCTTATAAAGAGCATTCTTTGTGCTCAAAGAAAATATTTTCAGATGAAAGACTAACGAGTCGGGGAGGTGTGAACACAACCTTTCAAAAGCATTTTTCTTCAAAACTATGAAATACACCAACACACCAGCAAAACCATTTTCCCACAGAGTAGAAAGCATTCACTTACCACACACTGAGTTGGACAAATTGATAAGTGATACTCAACACGTGAGCCTAAACACAGGCTGGGAAGATATTAAACTTTAATCAAATTACAGACTTTGAAATCTACCACCTTGTCTGTGCTCGACTTTTCAAATGTCGTGGGATTTGGTAGCCAATGCATTCAAACTTCATGCATGTCACATACTCCTTAGGCCAGACAAGGCCCCCCATTCTAAATGAGGCTAAGAAAGAGTTGACAGAACGTACTTCAAACACTGTATTTATTACAAAGGTGCATAGAGTTTATGCCATTTGGTTTGAATACTTATGTTTAACCTACAAACAACATACAAAGCGAGGTTACAGTATGTAACAAAAGCAACAGTGATTATCTGCTAAATTCAATACAATAAAATATTCTAATGTGTTTAATTTCACAAAAAACATTTCTGAAACAAAGGCACTTACAGAATTAAACCCAAATTAAGATATACTCTTTCAACATTTAAAGTTTTAGTTCCATTCCCCCTCCCCACAGCACTGTGGATATCTAGT